GGGGACCCACAAACCCCACGGAGCCTCCACTGCCACAGCTTAGCACAGCGCAGGCTCAGGCCGCAGGTCACCGAGACTGTGATCAGGAGGGCCAGCCACCTACAGCAGCCCCAGGGAGCCTGGCCCCTCTGCCCAAGCCAGCACAACCGAGCCTCAGACTCACGGGGAGAACAAGTCAGTCCACAGCACTGCCAGGCTGTCACCAGAGCTGCCCTGAGAACCACCGGGATTCAGTCTCCTTATGGGCAGACAGGCGAGCCCTCACTCACACACAGTCAACTACCTCTGCACGCACACACACACGCACACACACACACACACACACACAGAGTTAACTACTGCTGCACACACATAGTTAACTACTGCCGTGCACACATGCAGTCACCTACCACTGTACACACACACACAGTTAACTACCACTGCACACACACACACACACACACACACAGAGTTAACTACTGCTGCACACACATAGTTAACTACTGCCATACAAACATGCAGTCGCCTACCACTGTACACACATACACAGTCAACTACCGCTGCACACACACACACACACACACACACAGAGTTAACTACTGCTGCACATGCATAGTTAACTACTGCCGTACACACATGCACACAGTCACCTACCACTGTACACACATACACAGTTAACTACCACTGCACACACACACAGTCAACTACTGCTGCACATGCATAGTTAACTACTGCCGTACACACATGCACACAGTCACCTACCACTGTACACACGGGATCAACTATTGCCATCCATGCTCACAGATTTAACCACTGCTGTACATGCATGCACATGGCCAACTATCACCATACAGGTATCACACGGTTACCTGCTGCCTGCACACACGCACACGATTACCTACTGCTGCGTACACATACACAGCTACCCACCACTGCGCACACATACACAGTTAACCACTGCTGCGCACACATACACACAATTACCTACTGCTGTACACACATACAGAGTTACCTACTGCTGTACACACATACACAGTTAACTACCACTGTACACACATACACAGTTAACCACTGCTGCGCACACATACACACAATTACCTACTGCTGTACACACATACAGAGTTACCTACTGCTGTACACACATACACAGTTAACTACTGCTGTACACATGTACACAGTTAACTACCGCTGCACACACACGCTGCACACGCATGCACAGAGTTAACCACCACTGTACACACACACGCTCATGCATACATGAGTTAACTATGGCCACACACACACAGAGTTCACTATGGCTCTCCCTCCTGTGGCCAGGTGAACCCACAGAGCCATGTGTACCAACCCTGGACTTTCTAGCACCAGGTGAGTTCACAGACACACAGCCCCTTGAGCCCGCAAGTGTGGCAGGTGGAAGCCCCAGGAAGAGAGCTCCTTGGCTGTCCCCTCCTCTCAAAAGGAGAGCAAGGCCCAGCCCCCACATGGCTCACCCAACGGCAGAGGCAAGGACTTTATTAAAGAATGAAAAAACTTGATTTTCCCCACCTCTGGGATATCAGTAATACTCGGTCAGTACAGAAGCCTGCATCTATGCTAAAATGAACAATCTGCACCCCACACATGTCTATTGAGGGCTTCCCCATGCAGGCCCTGGGCAACCTGCAAGGCACAGCCAGCACAGGATGGGTGACCAGGGACAAAAATCCAGCATGATAACCTTCTGGCAAAGGCACCAGCTGCTTGGTCAAGAGCATCGAGGTAACCCCCAGTGAGCAAGACACCCAGAAGGGAGGTGACCTGCCTGCTCAGGGCCTAAGCCCTGGCCCATGGTCGAGGGCTGCACATCTCAGGGGTGGGCACCTTTCCCTGGGCCTGGGTGTAGCTCTCTGTGGTTCAGTAGTGATCAGCTCTGGACACACGGAGTGGAGCTGTTTCTTCCAGTAGTTTTCCTAATAGCCTTGTTCCCAGTGTCCACGGTGAAAACACCCTGCCACGCAGGAGGCCCGTCTGCCTGGCTTAACCCCTTACTAGTCAGAGGACTTTACCTAACGGAGGGGTGACCTTTGTTAACCCTCCATGCCTCAGTTTCCTCATCTGTGAAACAGAGAGGACACAGAGGTGAGGAGAGAGGATCAAAAGCCACACATCCGACGGCAGCACGTCTGTAGGGACCCACAGGCCCTGCCGGGTGATCTGCTGTTAGGGACGACTATCGTTACCCCAGAGGCCAAAGACCCCAGCAAGCAGGGAACTTGCTCTCTGTCCTTCCTTAACGCATAAACAGAACAGAACAGATAAAAACTTCAGATTCCCTCAAAAAGCTCCGAGTTAACCTTTGGAAATACACTGTTCCAGATTCACTAAAACTGAATTCTCGCAGACATTTTATTCCTTCCCCACAACACTCTCCTGTACCCCATGGCATGTAGACACCCCTGTGGATAAACATGAGCACTGGGCTTAGTAAAGCCCCAAGTCGGAGCTGCAGACTGGGAAGGCAATGGGCCCCAAGAGCCACCTCAGGCCACACCTGTCCCCAGCCACGCAACCAGCGGGAGCTGTCGCAGAGCATCACCCACCCAAGCCCCTCACCGCACTTCAGCAAGACAACGTCCCCATCTCGGTCGTCCCCACCCTCTGTCTTGTCCTGTACCTTGCAAGCACCCACTGGTACTCACGTAAGAAGTGTTTTTCCAGTAAGGCGATTTCCAGGTGACCTTTGATCTCATTCAGGCGATCAGACTCTGTGCGGTTAAAGTCCTGGACTCCTGCAGCCATGATGAGGGTCCCTGGACCAGCCTAGAAGGAAAACACCACGAGCTCAGAGGGAGCCGCCTGGAAGCATCCCGCGTCTGCACCCATCGGTTCTCTAGGAGGCACCGAGGGCAGCGGCAGTGTGAAGGGGACCAGCAGCTGCAGCCTTGGGGACACGAGGGCCCAGCACCTGCCTGGACCCTCAGTCCCCTCGGCTTCCTCTGTCAGTGGAAGGGACGTCTCAGACAACACGCACATCCTCAGAGCCCCTGTAAGGCCAACTTTAAGAAATATTAAGAAAATTAAAACTGGAAGTGTTTGCCAGCTGTCCCCCCACCCCCCCGGAGCTGGGCAGGGGCAGAACAGGGACACTGGGGGGACCAGAGGCTGGGTGATTGCATCTGCCTGGTCCACCCGAGGGGCCCTGTGGGCACTGGTCAGGTCACTCCCTGCATTGATGCTGACAGAGCAGACAGACAGCCCAGGAGGCCAGCAGAGCCCGGATGCAGCAGCCCACGAGCCCAAGAGCGCCCATCCTGCAGGACCATCCATGCTCCAGCACGGCCCCAAGGAGGACATGCAGCCCGCCCACCCCAGCTAGAGCAGTGCGGACCCTGATGCAGGTGCCGGGTTCAAGGATTCAGCTGGGAACCACAGGACAGGCTTGGAGTCTAAACATCTGTCCAAAGGTGGTTCCAACAGAGCCAGCCCCGGGCCAGCTCATGAAGCCTGGAACAGGCCCACTGCGCAGTCAGTGGCAGTTGCGGTGCTGCCCGCACACAGTCAGGAGGAAGCCTGTGCTGGGGCCACCTGTCTCCTGTCCTCACCTTTCAGACACAGCCCCTGACGTGTTTACTGTAAATATGATAAAATGATCAAATCCCTGGGATTTGCCCCAGAATCATCCAGTGGGGAGTGTCGGGGGGCTGGCGGGACACGGACCCACTGGACAGGCGCGGCCAGAGGTGCTGATAGTTGTACGTAAACGGTGCATGGGGCTCATGGCACGCTGCACTTAGTGCAAGTGTGCTGGGCGTTTTGGACATTTTATATTATAAAAATTTTTTTTAAATCCCAAACAGAAACATTGGGACACGTGGCACAAGCATGCCTCAACCCACTTGCCCCTCCACACCCTGGGCAGCTCCGGGCCACCTGATCAAGGACCCCGCGGGCACTGGCTCTGCCTTCACCCTCTTCCTCCGCACCCCTCCGCCCCAGCCTGAGAAGCTGGGCACCTCTGCTCGCTGCGCCGCGTCTCCCGGGGCTGGTTCCAGGACGTGCACACCTGCACCTCTGCCTCCCCTTCCTGGGCCTCGTGTCTACATAGCTTCTGAAAGTTTCTCCCCTTTTCCGTTGCCTTTGAGTCAAACCTAGCCACCTGCCCCCAGCGTGGTACAGCAAGGCCAGGGACAGCACTGTACCTGTCGCAAAGATGGTCGCGATCACTGAACTGAAGTGAGACCTGGCAGCCGGGCCCCTGCACAGCCTCACTCCCCACCCTGAGGAACACGCCACCCCTGAGTTTAACCTGCTCCTCTGCGGGCCTCCTCCAAGGGAAGATGTTTAACTATCTCACTTACTCTTCGTGTTTAGGTTGGCTCCTGGCAGGTGCATGGCACAAGTGCCACACTTGGGGCCCAGAAGGCCTGTGTTTAGTGCCCCCCTGCAGCCAGTGGTGACCCAGGCGAGCCTTTCCAAAGGCTGCCCCAGGAGTGGGCAGGGACCATGCAGGACACTCAAGGCCTGCCCGGGAGACATCCAGCACTTATTATGGACTATCTAACCCAGAGGACAACACAAACAGGAACCAGGAGCACCTGGGTGCCACCAGGGCGCAAAGACAGAAGGCCCCCCCTGCAGCCGGCCCCACAGCCGCCCGCCCACTCCCGCCTGCACCACACACGCCCTGCCCTGAACTGGATTTTCTCACGCGATGCTAGAGATGTGCCCCTTTCCTCTTGGTGGTGACAAGGCAAGGCAGGGACCCCAGCAGCCAGTGGCTTCGGCTTCCACAGCCTGGGAACTTCTGTCTGCAGCAGCAGCAGCAGCAGCAGCAGCAAGGACCCAAACCCAGGTAGAAAGCCGGAGCCTCAGCGGTCGGGCTCTGCCCCCACTTGCTGATGACCACAGCACTTAACCCCCCAAACAGTCTCCACATGGCCACGTCCACGTGGGGAGACAGGAAGAAGGTGGGGGACCTGGCAGTCAGGCACGAAGTCAGGACATGCATCCACGCTGCTCAGTCCAGGCCCCTGTCTTCACTATGTGTGGGGGCTCCCCAGGGGGCAGGACAGCAAACTGCCCTTTAAGCAACTGTCTTCCCACGGGAGATGTCCCAGTGCCCAAACTTGAGACAGTACCCACCTGCGCCTAGGGGGACAGACGACACAGGCATGAGGGGGAGGAGGAGGGGTTGGGGAGGGGACCCCGGGAGCACGGACAGACAGGGGAGCTGCGAGGGGGCAGGGAGAGGAGCCCGACAGCCCAGAGCCCTGGAGCCCACACCCGGGTCCAGCCTGGTCTGCCGCTGACTCTGCACGTGACCCTGGGTGTAGCTTACCTGCCCAGGGCCTCAGTTTCCCTCTTTGTCAAATGAGAATGACGACCCCAGAAAAACCCCTCTGGCTGCAGTGAAGGGCAGACACTCGACGCTCCTCATGTGCCACATGAATGTGCTACCCAGTAGGAGCGAGCCGGCAGGCTGGAAAGACGAAACGGGGCTCACCTGGGCCACCTGGCTTCTGTAAAGCCTGCGGCTCATGCTGCATTTTCAGGGAGGCCCAAGGAAACCAGGCTCGGTGGAGCCGCCCCACTCCCCACATCAGCCTGGGCAGGTGGCTTCCAAGTGAGTGAGAAATGAGAGAGGGGACCAGAGACACCCCACGTGCCTCTGCCACTCACCCCACAAGCAATCGCGCTGCGCCCTGCCCATCCCCGCCCAGAAGGGCAGCCCTGCCCCAGTCCTGACGCAGAACACTCGGCTCCCTACGTCCCGCAACCTCCCACCAGCAACAAGCAGCCGGTCACTTGGCCGACCAGCTACACTATCCCCGCCTATACTGTCCAGCCGTCAAAAAAAAAAATCCCTTTGGGGCCGGCCCGGTGGCACACTGCTACAGTGCG